CAACACAGCTTGGTTATGAGTGAGCTTTTCTGCTTTGTTTCATTTTTAGGTGCATCCTTATGTAGCTACTTACTGGGAACAAGAACTTTGGTATCAAGAACGAGAAGCTATAATGGTTTCTGGATGAGGGAGGTGAATGCACATCCCGAACTGCTAAAGCTTGTTGGGACTCATTGCCTTCTAAGCTCAACCATTACAAAGGTAACTCCGATTATAGTTGTTTTAAGTTGTGTTTAGACCAGTTGAATACGAATTGCTCTCTAATCTCTATTTATGCTTGCTCTTGCTCTGTCTCTTAATTATGACTCTTGAGCTCTACATATTTGCGTATGTTTTGTTTATTCCAGGTGGATATATTCGTCCCCTTTCTTTTTACTTGGTATGTTTATACTGGCAGGTGTATCTACGTAACATGCATAATGGTTTAAGGTTTTCTCATTTGCCAGATCTTGATTGAGGTTAGTTTGACTCTAATTTCACAGTGTTATAATATTGAACTTCACTTTCTTTTACCAACTACAAATGAGTGATAAGATCATAACCTGTTCAATCAGTTTGGGTTCCCTCTTCGGCAGTGTTTATGTGGGATTGTTTGCAAAGGGACTTGATAGCACAAAGACGTAGTAGTTTTGTCTCTTCTGTGGTATTTGATCTTCGTTTTCTCTTCAAATCTAGCATTATTCGTACTGTTTGATAACACCATAATGCTTTAATCTCGATCATAAATAGATTACATTGTGTGTCCTGAAGGAAATTGATCAAAATACTTTCTTGTTTAGCCTAGTGTTGTTTTACATGTCTGTCATGAAGCGAATGTTATTGTTCACCAATTTGGAATTTAGGCTCTTAGTTATTAGTTGCTACCTTAAAATTTATGCATATCACTCTCTCTATTTGGTCTCTTAAATTCTGGATGCAGGTAGTAGTTGTTCAATTCATCCCATGTTTGGTCGGTTAGTGTTTGACGTTTCCTAATTTTTTTAACCATGTTTGGACATGGGCTACTATAGCAATATGTAAGTGCTTTTTGTTTTCTTTCTTTTTTCTTTAGCTCTTTACTTTGGAATTTGCTGTCATCTTTCTTTGGTCTAAAGCACGATACTATTGCAGGTCTTTGATCCTTTAATTTTATCCTAAAACCAAAGAGCTATGGTAAGAGATCCTGAAAGCACGATACTATTGCAGGTCATTATGAAAGACAAGGATCCTGACTTGGCAGCCTTCATGTCTTCTTCTCCACTCCAGCAACCACCAGTCATCATACCACCCAGCACACAAACAGGCACCCTTCCAGACACCACAGCAGCAGCAGTCCAACCAGTAGGACTCACCACTGGAACCACACCAACCTCCCCTTTATCTAACACCGCCTCTAATCATTGACCTTGATTTTTATTTTCTTTTGTCTTTGTGATCATGAAAACTTATTAAGATATGTTATGCTCTAATTAGGATGATATTTGAATGGTTTGGAAGTACTTGAATGATATTTGAATGGTTGAATGTAGCATTTGCGTTTGAAATGGACATGTTTCGGATTAATAAGATGTAACTATTCTGTGACCAAACTGTTTAAGAAAATGTGACTAGTTTGTGACCAGAACAAGTAACAAATGTGACCAAATTGTGACTAAACATAATTAGAAATAACTCCAAATCTCGTATCAAATTGGTTACTAATAGAGGACTATTTTGTCACCAAATTATAAGAGTCTCAAATTAGTCGCACAATATTACCTCTCTAAACAGTCGCAAACGAGTCGCACTGTGGGACCAATTATGTGTGGTTACTATAGTCGCAAAAGCGTCGCTAACTTATGTTCGTTGCTCTATAGTCGGACATTTGAAACGATATTCACCAGTCACAGATTAGTCGTTAATCTGCGACAATATATTTATAGTCGTTAAAGAGTCGCAATTTTTCGACTATCGTGCGATTTAGAAATTTTGCGACCGTTTTTTAGCGATTGCCCGAAATAGTCGTTAAACAGTCGCAAAATCCTCTTTTGCGACCGTTTAGCAACCATTTTCACAGTCGCAAATGACGTGTTTTCTTGTAGTGCTTGACTTTGGTGGATATACTTCGATAGCCCTAACTTCATCTGGTACTGTAATATCATCTGGATCTGGAACCGGCAGTATCACACCAGATACAGTTGCTTTCCACGCCCCTTTCCTATGATAATCGCTCACCAAGATCCTGTACTACAGCCCTCTGTATGCACATGCAGCCATTGCGTGACGGCAAGGAATTAGTAACATCTGGAACTCCTTACAACTACAAGTCCTCTTATCAAGCGACACATGAAAACGGCAGTTTGTGGGTGTACTGACTTCGACATCCCACTGCAAACACCCCACTGTTGACAGACCTGTCGATTGATTAAGTTGCACCAATAATTCCTTCTCAACTTCCTGAGGTATGTCTCTCTTCAGCTTGGCTATTTCACTTCTCCTTGACTCGTACCACCTCCCAAGCATCCTCCGCGTGAACTCTAACGTAGCTATTATGGGGCTTTTACGGCATGGTAATAGCGCCTTGTTCAATGATTCAGCTATGTTGCTGGTCATAAAATTGTATCTTTTGCCTTTGCAATTTGCCCGTGACCAATGCTCTAGTCCTATATTCTCAAGGTACTGACTTACACGTTCATCTCTAGCCTTTATTGTTGCAAAGTTTTGTTTGAAAGCTGAGAGTGTGAACACCTCGCCTGTCCTACTAACCAGAGCTTTCATCCCCCTGCCTCCAAATTCTGCTTGGACATTCCTCTCAAGGTGTACAAGACAAGCGCCGTGGTGAGCAAAGGGATACCACGCCTCTTTAGCTGTGTATATGGACCCGTGACGATCTGAGATAAACATCAACTCGGTGCTATCTATTATAATATCACTTAACTTTTCCAAAAACCAACTCCAGGCTGCATCGTTCTCACTGTCCACTATTGCAAATGCAATTGGGAAAAGTTGGTAATTAGCATCTTGACCACTAGCTGTTAACAACACACCTCTATATTTTCCATTCAAATGTTTGCCATCCAACACAAAAACTTTCCTCAGATGCGACCAACCCTGTATACTTGCTCCCAGTGACATAAAAGCGTACTTGAACCTGTTCTTTCCTTTCTCATCTTCCTCTGTGTGTAGATGTGTTATTGTCCCTGGATTAGCATATTTGAGTACAAAGAAATATACTGGTAATAATCGGAAAGAGTTATCTTCCGTACCCTGAGCTGATGTTATCGCCAACTCCTTCGCTTTCCAACACTTCCAGTAGGAAACAGTAATATTGTGTTCATGTAACAAGATATCTTGGAGTTCACATGCCCGTGGACCAGCTGCCAATTTACAGTACATCCGTTTTATCAAAGTGGCAATTACTTTAGATGTTGCGTGTTTTGAGAACTGCCCGCGTGAGTCTGCATCGCACACATGCGTGAGGTTCACTTTCCTTACCTCGTACTCCCTTTTTCTCCCCACCTCACGAGCGTACACACGCCAATCACATCTACGGGAAATACATGATGCAGTCGTGGTATTAAATTTATGCCGGCTGAAGTTGAAGCGGAACACCCTTTTTATAGCATAGATTCTTACCGCAAGCTTGAACTCCTCTTTATCCCTAAACAATCGCCCTTTGTAGATCTCGTCATCCTCCCTACTCAAATCTAGGTCATCAAGTTTATATTTGCTTGGCGCTTTATCATGGAACATTGGTTCCACATCTTCGTAGCCATAAAGCTTAGTGATATTCAATGCTTTTTTCAATGCACTGTCACCCCCACAATGAACATCTCTTCTGGCTGGACCCCCATTGCCTGGACCCCCATCCCCTGAACCCCTATTGCCTGGAGCCCCATCACCCGAACCCCCATTGCCTGGACCCCCACCCCCTGAACCCCCATGGCCTGGACCCCCATCCGTTGAACCCCCATTGCCCGGACCCCCATCCCCTGAACCCCCAGTCTCATCATCAACGAAATCTCCGGTAGTATGACAAATTTCCATGATGCCTCTACACCTGTTGCCACCCCCAACAG